TTGAGATGCCCGCATGGACCGTGAATGTTGTTTCTCAAGATGATGTCATACAGTTCCCGACCGACATCGGAGTTCGGCAATTCTGCACTCACGACTCGATCAATACCATCGCCATTTCTGAATTTGTCCTCATCGCGCAAAAACCACAACGAATGTAGGTGTGGCAACCCGCGTTTTTGGAATTCAATGACAGATGTAGGCTAGCACCTTGCCGAAAATTCTGTTCTGCACCATGTCCTGCACCTACAACTCGAATACCTTTGCGACCATGTCTGGGCGCGAAGAAGCATCAGGGTTGTCGCCCAATTCTGAGCCTATTTCGACCCATTTCGGATTACAGGTGAAAGTGATGAACATATCCAGGCGGCCGTATTTGCGCACAATCGCCATTGCGTCTTGGTACTTTTTCTGCATGTTACACAGGCTACCAATGAATGACGAAGGGAGAATGAAAATGTTGCCAACGTGCGTGCTGCTCAAGAGCGACATTGGCGATGTGATCGGCTAAGCCCTGATAGCACTCAATCCGAAGCTGATTTCGATTTTGTCTGATAAACTCCAATCGATTGGATTCAGCAATGACATACCCGTGCACACAGTACTGTTGAAACAGTTTTCCTGTCCTGTGTAACGGGTTGAACACACCCCATACGCACGGCAAATCTATGATCGTAAAACTGCAGCGGAGTGACTGTGTTGTTGCACGCGGTAGCGTTTTGGTCATGCGGAATGCCAATGATCCAACCGGGTTCACCGTTAGGAAAGAGTAGCACGAAAATGATGGGGTCAATGTGACGGCTGTTTTTGTTGATGCGGATGCAAGTCCGATGGTGCTTCGGATGCACAGCGATATCAATATTGCGCGGAAGATTTCCATCATCACTGACGAATACGAATGCGCACTTATTGGGACCAGTGGGAGAGTTGTAGCGCCTGCGGTCATCGGAATCAAAACGCATGAACAGCAAACATCGCGCATCTGATTACCCTCACGCCTAACACGCCCCTTTTCCTCGCGAACCACTTCTCCTAATCGCCTAAAATGCGTAGTGTATGGATTGACTGGAATACCACATTCATTCGACCCAAATTATGAAGCTGGGCTGGAGCGGTGTTAGGGGTGCCCGCAACAGCTGCTCGTTCGAGAGCAGGTCGAGTTGGACGCCTGCGCGCTGCGTTCATAGCCTCAGGTTGCTCAGCAGGCTTGGCATCTCTCCCATTCCTGCGCTCAGCATTCGTTTCTTCCCGTTGTTCCACAGTCTGCGCAGCCCTACATTCCCCACGTGCTGTACTCACTGCCTCCCCCTGTTCCTGACTCATTCTAGCCCAACGACCACCACGGCTAGTACTCTCCAAAGCACGGTTTCCTGCAGTTGGCACCGCATCTGCAGTGGCAAAGGTGGTTTTCGCGACAGACCAACCGATTTTTACCAGCAACAACAGCCTCATCGCCGTCCTGTGGGAACTCCTTCAACATTTTCTTATTCGCGTTCAACCTCACCTCGCAAAAATCGCCACCATTTTGATGGTATGGTTTGCGCGACACATGAAACAAAGAACTTGCGTGATTATATTGACTTCATCAATCGAGAGAACTCAAATTAATCGGCTATGACATGAAACCCAAACAGAAAACTATTACATGGAACGTGACACGCATTCAGTTAGTAGCACCCTTTGACACAGCTTAGTGTAAGCCTATGGCTCAGACTGGCATAGCCCAATGGACCTGACGCTAAGAGCGTTGGATAGCCTAGCCCTAAGGACATGCGCTTTCGACCGTAGATGGCTTGGCCTATGACCCAGAATGGCATAGCATCGTAGACCCGCGCATGGGGGGTGTCAGCCACGACTACCACCACCGCCACAACTTTTAACCTCTTCGAATTAAAGTATTAGATAGAATATATTAATTTCTTTCGGGTCTTCTCGTTTGTTTATCCGGTGAAAAAGTTTTTCCTCAAATATTTTAAGTTACTTTCAGCGCTCAGAGTTCATGCTCTGTAAAATGTTCTCTCTGAAAACTCAATTGTCCGGATCCATTTCGTATGCCGTGAGGAAAGCGTTCAGATGACTTATGGAAATGAATGAAATTAATGAGGGATCGATCGTCCAGCGACATGCCCCAAATAAGTTTCCATATATCATACCATCACTTTTCATACCAGCCTATTAATGAAATATACGGACATGGAAACGGGATTGTTACGACACAACCGGCGGGATCTTTGCAATCCAGGGATAAACGTTTCTGTACCCAGAAAGGAGCCTGGAGTTACTCTCTTTCGTGCGGAGGAACAAGGGAAGTGTTGTACATGGGTTTTCCCGCGTGAAAGTTCATATCGAGGTTTGAGCATTGTTGGGGGGGGGGGGAGTTTGCCCAAGGCGTACAGCAACTCTCCCAATCTCAAGAATGGATCCGACAGTCGCAATGGCCGGAGAGAACATGCGAGGTCGAGAGCGTGAGAAGGGCACTCTAACCGGTGGAGTGTCTTCTATGAACTGTTTCTCATGAATTCCCGAGCTCAGTCAGCAGCCTTAATACTCAGCGGCCCTCTCAACGATATAATCAGCAGCCCCTCTCTAACGTTCTCCAGGATGACATCTGGAAGTCTTCCACGAACTTCGGGTCGGTCAAGGCCAGGGGTGTCAAACTCCCGGCCAACTACTTGATTTCGTCCGGCCTGCAATGTCCTCTTTAACAGTTGTTCTTGGAAAGTATAGACTTTTTCAACCCTGCTAGGAATTAAAACTTTTGTGTAAGATTTGCTAAATGTGGATCCAACCACTCCTGAAGGGTTCCATGAAGCCGTCAGTTTAATCAAGTTTGAGATTTCAAGCGTGTCTTTTCTTTTTAGCGGCTCAGCTCGCAAGTTCCCGCATCCGCAGAAACCGATGACGTCAATTCGAGGCTCAGCTTCTGTGTTCTCATAGTTCGATGTGTTCCACTCGCAGCTGCTTGCCCAATAGTGACGTCATTCAACGACGTGGTCGTGTGTAGCCAACGCATCTTTTTCGCCAGGAGCTGCTATCGGCTGGAAGAAAAAAAGCACTCATTTTGTCAGGGTCGAGGAAAGGAATTGTGAGGCCTCAAGCAATATTCACCTAATCGCCCCCTATCCACTCTTTTATCCATCAACACCCCCCCCCGCTTCAGCACATTCAGTCAACTTTTCACTACTTACGAACGCCACGCTACTAAACAATAATACGTACAGCATCTAGTGTGGGGCCCCGAGGAAAGAGACATGGGGCATATTATCGCTTTTGTCCCCCTCCCCCTCCCCACTCGTGAACAGTGGGGAATCCACGAGTTGAGTCAGCACTTGAACGATCTACGCGGTAGCTGCTGTCTCTCCTGTTCCCGAGGACGAATCCAACAGTCGCGAAGACTCAAAAGAAACAGTTGGCTCAAGAGGTAGAGGGAGACCCCAACCCGTGGAAAACATCCACGAACTCTGGGTCAGCCTAGGTGTAGCATTTTCGGATATTCAAGATTTCAGTCTGTCAAAGTTCTACGAAGCTATCGCTCGGACATAGTACACCTTGCTTATCCGCTTCTCCCCCCCCCCCATTTCCTAAGGGGGTATTCATGCCAACGATACCGACTTTTAATGAGTGGAACTCCTACACAGTATCAATTGCGACCCTGTGCGAAACACAGGGTCCGTAAAGTCCATCTCCACCGCTATTCATGAATGCCTGTGAATGAAAAACACGGATAGAGAAACGAGATGGTTACTACGCGGTCGACATCGTCTTTCCGATCCAAGTAAAAACTTGGATCGGAGGGACGACGGCTGTCGTGTTCCATACAGGTTGGACACCGCCGTTTTCACCATTGGGAGTCACTCTCCTTGTGAGAGTACCGATGAGGACGGGGTACGATTGATGAAGGGGTCGGGATCCCAATAATTATAGGGAAGGAGATCTCATCCCAGCGAAGAATTCATCTTTCTTCCAGGAATGAAAGTGAACTCCATACGCGGGCTATTTTACACGTCCCTGCGGAAAAGGGGTTGTTCACACGTCGGATGTGTGAAGAACCCCTAAGTTTGGAAGGGGGGTGGCGAGGGTGCGCGTGGAATGCTTCTCTCTCTCATGTGTTGTGTTGGTAATGAATGGAGAGAATTGACCGACCTTCTATGGATCGGTGGCGTAGTGGTAGCACACTCGGCACGCAATCAGAAAGTGCCGATTTCGATTCCTTCCCGCTACATCGTTTTCTGCCATCCGAACTTTTCCCTCTCCCACCTCTCCGGCTATTACGTTCTAAAGACAGTCACAACGGTCGGGAAAAAATGTGCGAGCCCCAGAGAGGGAGACGTACACATGGCGGAAATGAAAATGTATTTTCATTTCAATGGAGCATAGGCGAGGTGAAGGAAATGATCAAGAAGAAAGGAAGAAGACGTGGAGCAAAAACGAGGAAGGAAAGACGAATTGGATTTGATGAACAGGACCCTGCAGAGTTTGTGCTGGATGATATTGCAGAATTCAATGGATTCTTCTTATCCGATCTGCCAACTACTGTTCCATAGTAAACAGGGAGGAATCATTCGATACCAAGAGCGAATTATGAATCTTTCCACAAAGTGGGGAAAATTCCCTTTTTAACAAATGAAATAGCCACAGTGTGCTTTGAAGAGACCGCGAGAGATGAGAGGGAAGAAATTCGTTCGCCAACGGACAATCCGATCAAGGGGGAAGGGGGAAAGGAAGCAGGAAGGAGGGGAGATGGATATCTGCATGGGAAGGGGGTGTGTCAAGGTCGACCACTCCATTGAAGGAGGAAAGAGAGGGTATAAAAGCTGCTGCAAGCTGGAATCTCGAGCAGTACCGAGTTGGTCTCCTTCATTACCGGTTCCTCTCGCCGTCATCACGACCGAAGGGTAAGTCCTTGTCCTTATTCATTCTAAATGTTGATAAGTGTTGTTTTGAGTGTGGGGAATTGTGATGAATTTCCAATTAACGTTCGTAAAGTTACACGATGGATTTGAATGTTGCCAGGAGGACGGGAGGTGACGCGAACCAAGTCCATGAAAGAATCCATCAATCCAAGCACCATCGCTGGAGGGGACAGCGAACTGAGGACCGTTTCAGTGGAGCCCTCTCTGGATGGGGGCGACGACATGAGGACTCTCTCGCTTGCACCTTCTCTGGAGGGGACTGAAACTCTGGACCATATTACTCTCGCCATCTCCCGGTAGCATCGGGAACCCAACCCATGTGCCACAGTCATCCCTGGAGGGAAGAGTGAAGTCCTCTTCTCATAGTGATGCCGTGGACGTGAAAATACATCCGTTTAAAATTCATTCATGCCTTTAAAATTCTCAATTGAGAAATTTGAGTACATATTTCCATGATTTTGCATCACAATTATCTTCAGTTATCGAAGGAAAGAAGTCACTCCATTAAACATACAGGAATTCGTGTTGGTTGACCAAGTATTTATATGCCTCCAATTCCCCCTGCAGACGAGTGGGCTTTAATTTGATCCCCCCTCGAGGTGACGGATAACGTAGGCGATGCTGCCGCAATCTCGTAGAGTGGAAGGTGAACGCGTTCCACCTGATTATTCTCATGAACTACCTCTCGGGTAGTTTCATCGTTTCACCTAATTTGTACATGAATTAGGATCACATTTAGTTTATTGCGGGAAGAAATAGCGACAAAAATAGGACAAGCAAGGAAGCGGCGTACAGTACACGGAGATTTTGTTCCAAAACACATTCATCATGATATTCGAGCTCATTGTCACAATCGCCATTGTGAACGCCTCGGTTTAGCACGTTTTCATGAGACTCGAGACTCTTCCAAGCACATTCAATACACTTGCATCACCGGTTAGCGCATGGGATGTTAGCGTTAGCGTATGGTACAGACACCAATGATTCTGAAACAGTAGGGACCATTTCCAAGAACTTGTCCGACGGCACAGAGGGAAGTTAGTCCACGTGCGGCACAATGCTGATGACTAATTCCTGAAAATGCCTAACCGCCATATTTGCATCAGTGAGCAACACATTCAGAACCTCAGGGTAAAGTGTCAGTTGTAGGAGAAGCATTTTTCCGTTGCGCTAGCAATGTGACGCAAATGCCCCCTCCCTGCAACAAGTCTGACAGTACTCGCTGCGGCAAAGGAATGTAGTGATTGAGATGACATAGAGAGGCATAACATCCTGAATTCCGTGGTGTAATGGGAGCACACCTGTCCGGCAAACAGAAGATCCGGGTTCAATTCCCGGCCGCCCCCTGGCTTTCGTCACTTGAGTGCTGCGTTCCCTGCATGAAGTTGCTCAGCAGGCTGCACGGCTCTCCTATTCCGGAGCTCAGCATTCGCTGCCTCTTGCTGTTCAACCGTCTGAGCGGCCTTACGCTCTCTACGTACATCTGCACGTTCATCCATTGTTCATTCCTCCATTCATTCCAGCCATGACGGATAGCATCGATTTAGACACTTCGTACCCCAACTGCAGTGGCAAACGTTGCTTCCGCGCCAGCACCAACCTTTTTTTTTTACCAGCAACAACTGCATCATCACCGTCTTGTGGGACCTCCTTCAACATTTCTTCGCGTTCAACCTCACCTCGCAATAATCGCCAGCCCAGATCTAGCGCCAACCAACTACTATCTCTTCCGCGCTCTGGACAACCATCTTCGCCAGAAAAGGTTCAACGATGACGCTGAGGTTGAAAACTGGCTGAATGATTTTTTCGACTCACAGTCAGCTCAGTTCTACAGGGAGGGAAATAGGAGTCTGCCTGATCGTTGGCAAAAGGTGATTGACTGTGATGGCGAATACTTCGTTGCATGATCTTTTTTGCTTAAAAAAAAACTCAGTTGTATGGAATGTTCTCGAAACGGCCAGAACTTTCTGATCGACCCAAATATTTCAAAATGTATTCTCCACCCTTACCAAAAGGGACACATTATAAGATTTCAAGTTAGGCACACTACAAATTATAGAAGTAATGATTTTGATAAGAATCAAGACTTTTGCCCCCATGTCACGTATTTCAATGAGAACGTGCTTTAAATACGTGTTTGCCATTTCGCAAAGAATAAGTGAATTAATCGAGGGCGTGACCATAGCAAGTTTGTTTGCCCGAAGGGAAAAACGAACTCCAGTCCAGGAGGTTGCATACCGCTTCTTCGAAAGGCTTTCGAAGAAGTGACATGGAGCGGTTCAGGAAGTTAATATTATTAATTCAATTATTTCATTTTTGAGCCCTTAATGCGATTATGTCAATGAAAGCTTATCAACGAAGGCCGGTGTTCGTTTGGGTCCTATTGATTCAGACGTTTTGGAACGATACGATGAGGACAATTGGAACGCGCGACACGCACTTGGAATTCCAGCAGCAAGATATTAAAAGCGACTTTGATGAATTTTGGTCCAAAAATTCCCAACAATTTCCAATCAAAACAAATAAAATTTCGAGAACCTCAGTTGATTTTTCAAGGAGACAACAAATTCCCTCGCCCAGAGGACAAGTGGCACTAACTAATGACCTAAAAAAAAGGCACCTGGGAGTTTCCAAGCGGTATGGGGGGATAGAAACGCTTTTTGACTATTATCGAGGAGAATTTAAAAGCTCTATGATGAGGCGATGCATTAAAGACGCCAGCCCCTTTTTCTCTTTCCTTATCCTCTTCTCGCTAAGAGTTTTGATTGCTAGGCCAGTCCTGACTGCGTCTCTCGACTCAATTTTGGCCTCTTTGTCAGAACATCTAGTTGATAGTATTAGGATTATTAGGATGCGTGCGCCAGCAAGATGTATCGTGATGGTGCGTGGGTCTGATTCACCGGGCTTATGCATCCATCTGGTTCTCATATGAAAAAGACTACGGAAAAGGGGGATGAAGCCGTTTCTTTCTTGTGCTGGCGTTATCAAGAAACTAAGGGAATTAAAAGTTATTTTCATGAAGGTGAGCCTTAGGCGTGGTTTTACTTCGCGCAACTCAATATTTAATTAGAATGAATGACTAAAGATCATTTCAATGCCTGTCTGCCTTCTAATTTCTCTTTTCCCACAGTGTGGGACAAATACACATTTCCGTATAAAAAATCGTACATTGGCAAAACAGAATCCGTCGATCGGGGGACGAACTAAAAGGACGACGAGCCAGCATGCGGAGGGAGATGCCAGGTGTGGCCGGGGACCGCTCCGATGTCTCGCTCCACCTCGCGCAGGCGCGCGTTGGAGGAGGATGTTGCTCCCTTCGACGACTTCAAGAGTAAGTGTCGCGGCCGACAGTGGCGTCTGTACTCAGAGGGAAAGGTGTGTATTTATGAGGGAAGAAAAGAAATTCCTCGATTTTTTTTCAGTAATGGCACGCATAAAAAACTTTCGATTCCAGTTCCCGAGATGCCTCCTCAGGTGGGCAGAGAACGAGATAATACTACTTTGAGATCCCATATTTTGCCAGTTTCAGGTATTCTTGACTATTTTGCCAAAACTCGAGATGAAGTTGGCTTCAGCTGGCCTCTCCCTTCTCCCCATTGCTAAATTGAAGTACAAAGTCAAAGGCAATACTCTCATGCGCGAGATCAACGAGGAAATCCAGTTCCAGAAAACCTGTGTCGACCTGACGGGCGTGGATTGCGAGGCTCGTCACGGATGTCATTGAAAAAGAGCATAAATCACCGCAGGTGCAGGAAATGAAGCCAGCATCGATTGCTGCATATCTGGCGCCAGCAAACTGCATATTTGGCACCATAAATCCACGTGGACGCGCAAATATAGAGACCATATGTACGTGCTCCAGAAAATCCACGAGTATTCCTGCGTATAATCTTCGATATAAATCTCTACTTTCTGCGATTAGTCTTCATCCTTGTGTCTAATTCAAATATAACGAGCCTATATAGACGATCGTGAGTGACTGACTGACGGAGTCACTGGCGCTAATTCTAACCATGTTCTAGAAATGAGAGGCTGAAACTTGATGTACAAATAAATGTCAGATTGCTGACTCCAGAAAAACTCTTATGTTGTGGGTACATGGCCTGGGGAGAGATATTGAGAGGGGGGGGGTTGGGGGGACTGATTTCGCAGGCCTAACCCACGGATTAGACTTACACTACTACTACTCCCCTAACTTCTTCATGCAGCCCAGGCCATAAATTAAAAAGTGTAACTGTAGGCGACACTCCGAGGGGTAGGGAGGGTCCAAATATTACTGAGACATCTGGTGGCTTGTTATCAACTACACTTCTTCGAGGCGCGCTTCTTGGCAGCGGAATCAGAAATCGACTCAGTCGGGGTTTCGACCCAAAGGGATCCATCAACGTAACACGCGTGTCTCGTTGAGTCCGCTGCTCGGCCATGGAAGAGTTGTTGATGTGCGCTTGCTATGTGGAGGATCGACAGCGACATCTACTGCATATTGCGACCCTGTCAATGAATGGCATTCGAGCGGAATGTCGCCACTAGTTCTACTCTCTATGCCCAGGACTCCATAAAGAAAGTAGGAGAGTAGTGTAAGCTGAGGCATCCCTCCGTGAGTTAGGCCTAGGACTGCGAAATCAGTCCCCCCCCCCCCACTCAAAATGTGCCCCAGGGCTAGTACCCCAGAGTTAGTGTGTCTCCTTGAGTTAGCTGCTCGGCCATGGTGGAGTTTATGTGCGAACGCTAGGTGGAGGATCGACAGTGACATCTACACCCTGTCAGTGAATGGGACTTGAGGGAAATGAAAGCCTTTCGTTACACACTCTACTCAATGACGAGGCCATGAAAAAGCTCATATTCTCTAATGAGAACCCCATATGTGAATAAGTTAAACTCATCCAAAGAAGTTCAGGGAAGAGATGGTATACACAGTTTCTGTTCGCCTTTACCTCTGGCAGGGGGGAAAGTGATGATACTTTTTGAGAGAGCTGCTTCTCCCCAAGGATCCCTCCCTTGAGTTTTTTTTATTCCTGTGTTCAACGGGTATGAGCAAGTTCCCATTGAATTTGCAGGCGAATCATGCAGACTATAGATCGCGCCAATCGAGCAACGGCCAGACGGAATCGCCAAACGTGCAGCACAATCACGTTCGATGGCATCGAGTTTCATTCGCAGGTGTGATAGGATCCATTTCCACTGGTGTGACGATGTCATTACCAGCTGCTTCGAGTCATGCATGCTCCCTGCACTCTAAAGCTTCTGATGAAGAAAAACCCTGCTCACCGTTCTGCTTATTGTGTCCCTCCATCCCTCTA